TTTGCTCAGCACCTTTGAACATACAGAACTCATAGACACAGCACAGCACTCTCTTGTGGTCCAATAGAGAAACTACATTGTGCAAGTGCAAACTGTTAGAGTACACTGCTAATGTGCACCGTTTCCCCTCCAGCAACATCCATCCTAAAGAAAACAAAGAGGGCGCGGCGAGCCAACGTGACCTTTGACCAGGTCACAGTCTTCTTCTTTCCTCGATGCCAAGGTTTCACCAGTGTCCCCAGCAGAGGAGGCTGCACTCTGGGCATGACTCCTCGGCACACTGCGCTCCGCACTTACACGCTCGCGGAGTTTGCTGTAGAGCAGAAGCTGCTGAGAAGAGAGAAACTTCTCAACAGGCTCAAACAGGAGAAACTAGAGGTGCTCAAGCAAAAGGTGAGCTAGAACCCAATTAAAATGTGACATTTATTCTAAATTTGTATGCTGTAATAAATAACATACTGTCTTCTCTCTATCCAGCTGACTAAAAATGGGACTCAGGAGAGTGAGGAAGCAGAGAGGCTAACTGTGGATGATATCCCTGAGCATGATCTGGACCTGAGTGCTGCCAACCTGGAGGAGGGCTCCTTTCTGCAGCCATACACATCCAAACTGCGCTACGCTCTGCTCAAAGCAGCTGGGGTCAAGAAGATCGACAAGGAGGAGAAGAGGCAGTTGCATGAGCTCCGGCTCTCCAGGGAAAACTGTGGCTGTGACTGTCAGGGCTTCTGTGAACCAGAAACCTGTGGCTGCAGCTTGGCAGGCATCAAATGTCAGGTGAGGAACCAGGGGATAATGGTGCTTAATGTGTGCAATTATATAATGGGGGTATGCTTCCTGCACATGGAATTCAAAACAACCTAACCAAATAATGTCATGTCTTTTTAGATGGACCATTCCTCCTTCCCTTGTGGCTGCACTAAAGATGGCTGTGGGAACACTGAGGGGCGCATTGAGTTCAACTCCACCCGGGTTCAGACGCACTACATCCACACCATCATGAAGTTGGAGCTGGAGAAGAGGCTGGAGGAGCAGTCCAGTGATGAGGAGAGCAGACGGCCTCAAGCGGCCCCCGTACACAGCAGCCCAGCCAGCCTCACTCACAAAACCCTGTCCCCTCTATCCATGGCCCCCTCTTTCACATTTGGCTCGGAGCTGTCTACAGTAGAGGAGAACAGCTGTAGCAGTGACATGACAGACTTATCCGACTCCTCAGGGCAGAGCGAGGACTCTGAGGTGGGGGAGAGACAGTGTGACTGTTCACAAATGGACACAGACACAGAGAGGGGCTCCAGTCTCAGTACCACACAGACCTGCTCCAAATGCAAAAGGGACAGCACAGAGCGAGAGCAGGAGCAGCCCTCCACTGAGGCCTTCGGTAGCTTTAGCATAGCGGACTTTGCAGATGAAAATGACAACATCGACTCTGCTTTGTTGGACTCTGAACAGACAGACAATCGAGCTACAGCCATTTCAGAACTCATAGATGAGAATGCCAACCAAGGAAACGCTCTATTCCACAGTGGCAGTGTACCCCGCACCCCCTCCCCCACCGTGGACCGCTCTGCCAGCTACAACATGGACCTGAGCCTGTCCTCCGAGTCCGACCTGGAGTTCTTTGATGGCTTCCCCTGCCTCGGGCCCAGCTCGCTCTATAACTCTCTGAAGGAGTATGAACACATGGACACCTATTTTCAGTTCCAGTTGCCTAGTTACCCCAGCCTCCCCGCAGCCTCTGACCCCGGCACATGCCTCCTCGAGTCGCTCATTGGCCTTTCCGAGTCCGTCCCTGAGCCCCCTGCCACTTTTACAGACAATCAGCTGTTGGAGGAAGCCATGAAGTTGTCTGTGATGGAATCTGTGAAAGTTTAACTAAAACAAACAAGAAAAAAACTTTTGTACGGGGTGAACTATACATGCACACAGTAAGATTACTGATGTCTAAGAAGTGGTTTGTGGAGGAAGCTGTGATTCCCTTTTGCCTAAAATGTTCAAATTGCCTTCAAAATGTTAGCAAAGCGTGTGGGAGTATTGCTGTGTGAGATGGCAGCTAGTGGTAAAACTATATAATTTGACATGGCCCTTGAAAACCAATGATGGCTGACAATTCCTAAGAAAGCTCTTTGAACCAAACCATATGCTACAAGAGTCAACCTTTATAAACAGGGCCTTGTCAAGAATCGAACACAGCTGAATGTGCACCTCAGGGATATTTTTCTAGCTTTCTAGCTTTTGGAGGCAATGTATGGAGAGCATTGCTGTGATGGCCTTTCAATGAGACCTGAGTCCAATCACAAACATAATCCAATGTGCGTCCTCCAGTCAGACTCAGTGCTTACTCTGAATAGCCTGAAGGGGGCGGTCTTTGCTGTGTTCAAATGGGCCGTTCTCCTCACGCTGTCCAAATCCTGGGTTTTGTATGGTACAGAAGTCCCTCAGAAAGCTCCTCAATCAGCACTTTATCTGTGAACAGACTTAAGTATCAATAGGCATTGTTTTGGTTGTATGGGGTGGATTCAGCAGTTCACCGCTACATGATTTGTGTGCTGGCTAACTAGAAAATAACACTCATACCATAGAAGCTGTAGCTGTTTTGTCTTTAATACCCTTGAATTAAATTATTTTCTTTATGATTTAATTTTTATTTATTTCAGCTAAAGCCTAATTTCATTCACCAAGCACTGTGGTTTAATATTCACCTCTAAGTGCAATCCTTCTTTCCTTTTTTCGAATTACATTAATGCATTGTTATGGGAAATGGGACCACAAGTCCATCAAAGTATTTAATATCTATTCTCGTATTCATTTAACATTTTTATAACTTATTATGTCATTATTTCAGTAGTTATTTAATTTATACGTTTGGGCAATAAAATGGGCTGTAGTGGAGTTTACTGGATGTGCCTGTTATCAGGGAGCCATGCCTGCCAGTGGCCTGTGCACAGGGCTTCCACTTAAGCTTTGGGACTGAAAACTGTGGAATTTCCCTAATCACTGAAACTAAAGTTTGGGTCTATTATTAAATGGCTGCCTATATTGTAACCATAGAAAAGACACTAATATTTTGTAACTAATTTTATGTAGATTGATTGAAAAAAAATTCTAATCACTGACAAATGTAATATTTTATTAAGAGACTAATGAATAATTTTCAATTTGGGACAACCTTTGTAATATATGAATTATAGAGACATTTATGTATGAAGGTTATAGCTCTAGCATTCTGAAGTATTTTCATAGGCGGACTTAGATATGTTCAAATGCCATTAAAAATGAATCATTTTCAAAGATCAATTTGATTGTATTCTGAAGTTTTGGAAGTCTGTGACTTGGGTTACAATGTTATAAATTAAAAGTTTTTTGTGGGTAAAAATTGCATATATTATACAATTTTTATCATGTACAAAAGCTTGACCATGAAAGCGTTGCCTGATTCTTGAGAGGAGGGCGTGAAGTGTTGAGTCAATGTACATATGTCCCCTCTTACAGCTGTTCTACAGCCGGTGGACCCTTTAGACGTATGCATGCAGGTCCTGTTTCTTCAAACTTGTTCTGATTCATTGTATACTTTGAAAAGTGCAGCGTGCACAATGGAAATGTATTATTCGCTTTTTGCCTTTTTCATTACTTTGAAATCCATGTGTTTGGCCATAAAATGGGCACAGACTTTTGCAACAATTAGTTTCTCTTGTACAAAACATAATTTAACATGAAGAACATGGCACCAGTGAGTGTTATCAATGTAATGTATTACAGTACGGCTGTTTCATTTTCAAACAATGTGTCTTACTTTGATGCCTTTTGTGTTGTACAGATTTCTGCTTGAATGGTCCTGCAGAGCAAACAAAGCTGCTTTATTTTTTACATATTCACACATTAACCTGCTGTTCAAAACAATTTCTTTCATTTAAGCCATTTTGACAGCCTGTCCCTCCAAATAAAAAAAAGTTTTTTCTAAAAGTGTTTGTTGACATTTGTCCTTATTTGCACTGACACCTGAATATATGGATATGTACTGTGCATGTAGCCTGAGGAACATTCCTCAGTTTTTATTTTGTGTTATGTCTAGAAAATCACATGCAAAGCATAAAGTCACACTAACTCCTGAGTCCTGACAATTACTGTAAAGAGCAGTAAAGAAGTTCAGATCGCAGCTATTTGTCCAGTAAGGTTTTACAGTTGACCGTACTGTAGCGCGTTGGGGTAGAGTCAGTTTCTGTGGAGGCATGTGCTGTGCTGTTTACATTCTCTGGAGTTTTCCATCGACTGAAGTTTCAGTTTAGGGTCAAAGTTTATGACAGGAAGTGCTCCACTTCTGTGACTCTTCACCCTATGACCCTCTGCGCATCTTAGTGTCTGACTGGACTGCAGCCAAACTACCATAGTTTACTTTTGTCAGTCTACAATGTGCTTCAGAGATGTAAGAACAGGACGGGCATCCAAAATTTTTTCACAGAAGGCCACTTATAGAAACATTTGAGGTGAAAGCCACAGACTGGTGGTCAGTACAGATGATGACAGATGCATTTAACACAGTTTGACTGTGGCGCCACACCTTTAATAAGGCTTGAAACATTCATTTTAGACCCCTGTCACAATGAAATGTAGTGTTACTGAGGTTATAGTGGTAGAAATACTTTATAATACATTTGCTGTAAAAAATTACTGTCTGTCACTTGGGCCAGTTTAGCAGAAGGTCTGAGGGCCAATAAAAATAGGTCTGGCCCCTAATGCATAGTTTGGACACCCCTTCTATAAGCTAACATACTGTGTGTTTTATTTTACAGTATTTAAAGAACACTCACGCCACCTGCTGACTTAAAAAATAACTACAATATGTATATACAGAAAGTGCACATATATAGACATAATTGACATAAGCAGTCGAGCTTTCATGACAGCTGGACTCACATTCACTTAGCTTCTTGAGCCTAAAAAAGCCTATACTAATAGGTGTGGTACAAAAAAAAAAAAAGACAATTAAAAATATTATAATTTTATTGATGGGTTCAAAATGATGAACTTAAGTATACATCACCTGAAATCCAAAATAAAATATTAAAAACTTGCTACAAATGTATCTTAAATATTTGATTTTAATGCATACCAAATTTATCCAGTCAATGAAAGAAGACACTCTGGTGAAGACCGTGGGTTTGCGCAGCTGGTTGCACATGCCGGCAGGACCATAACTGACCACACCATGGACCCTCCAGGCCCCGTCAGTGTAACAGTTCAGGGGACCGCCAGAGTCACCCTGGGACACAGAAGCAGGATGGTAAAATGCCAGTTACACAACAATGAACTACTATTAATCACACCATAATAACAGCTTGCTTTTGGATATGTGATCAGAAAATGTGATAAAACAGTAGTTTGTTTTCATAATTTCAGATGGAGGGCAGAGGCATAATTCTGAGGGAGATTTTTGAAAGAAATATCAAGACAAAACAACCACACATGATGACAATTACACTTATTGTTTGAAATTGGCTCTACAAACTAAGCTGCCATAACTAAGTCCTTTCATTTGACAATAAATTGAAATTTGGGGTTGAATGTCATCACTTTCTGACACTGTTAAAGTAATTTCACCTCAGTTCCTTTGTGCTAAGAGATTGACGTGGTGCCAGTTGTTGTTGCATGTGACTAAGTCCAGTAATTACAGTGATATTAACCATAAACCAAGTCAACAAATCTGCCACCTAAAAGTTAAACAGCGATTTCTACCATAGAATTCTGATTTGTCCTCATGCCCAGTTTTAAACTGAAGGCATTCACGAAAGTTGAACACAACCTATTAACATGCTGTAACATTTGTTATGCATTGCACATTTAACATTAAAACAAACACCTGGCATCCTGAAATGAGCCCATCTCCTCCAGCACAGACCATGGTCTCCAGAACCAGACTGCCCCACCAGTCAGGCTGAGAGCACACCGAGTGCTCCACCACGAGGATGGGCGCCTCCTGCAAGATGTCCGGAATACTGCCTGCAACTGCAAACAAGAAAGTACTTCATTATTTAAATCTCTAATACACTTCCATATTGTTTTTATTTATCAGTTTATAAACTCACAGTCTGTAAGACCCCAGCCAGTGATAAAGCACTCAAAGCCATTAGGCAGTGTGTCTCCTGAATAAGGCAGATTGGCAATCCCAATATAACCATTGTCATATGGGGAATCAGCCAGTCTCAAAACAGCAATATCATTGCTAAAGTGAAACAAACAAACAAAAACATTCTAATTTCAAGGATTATAAGATAGTTCTGTAAGACTGTAAAAGGTACACTAAGTAACTTTTCTGTTGGAGGTCTGTAATTTACTTGTCCAATGGAGAGGCTGTTTTTTTGTGAAAGATTACAGAGGATGAGATAAAATTGATCTGTTTGTCTTCTACTCATATAGGCTACAGTTTTATTGATTTGAAAAAAAAAAAGCACTGTAATGTGTCTCTATGGAAATAGAAATGTTTGATGCCACACAGCTGAAGTGAGGCTCAGGCAAAGCAACATTTCCAGAGTGACACAACAATGGTGACAGACTCTTCACCAGAAAAAGTTACACAGTGAACCTTTATACTAATATGTGCTTTAACGTTACCCAAGGGCAAGGTCTCCATTCCAATGAGGATGCACAAAAATACTGTGCACACGGAGGAACTGCTCAGTGCCCTCAAAGCGGTCCAAGTTATACTCACCCACCACCGCTCTGTACTGCTGAGGATTTGAGCTAGAAAGAACACAGTACACAAAGTCCCTAAAGTGTATCTCTTTAAATGCAACTTTTTAATTTTTCAGAGCCAACCTGAGGATACAGTGAGCCGCGGTTAGAACATGAAACGTGTCCACAAGACTACCACCACAGATGTGAAAGTATGAGCCATCATTGTTAGAATCTAGCTGCAGAGACACCTGGAGAACCAGAAAGATTAAAACATATTCAAACTTATAAAAGCGCCTGTTTAGTTTAGACCATACCTGCCACTTCCAGACATGTGGTTTAGCATTACTGCCCCCTATCACCCTGTTATTGTGCACTCTAAAGTCAAAGGGAGTCTCTGCCCTGACGAGCCCTACAAAAAAAGCAAAAGAATATAGTGTAAAAAGAAATCAAATAAATGAAGAGTCATTAAAGCAAGCTTACCAAAGCAAAATATGAAAGCCACACACCAAATCATTGTGAAGATTGGATAAACCTGTGTTGAACTAGGCCTATATATACCAGCTAAGATTGATGCAAGTGTTCTGCCAATATAAGCAATGGATGAAAGCCAAACACAAAATAAGAAGACATGACATCATGAGCTACAGATCTATTGGTCTAATACCAATGACACCTGAGTAGAAATGTAGATTTTCCTTTTTTTTTTTAAAAAATATATAATTTTAGTCATTTTGAGGGAATGAGTACCCAGCATCAATTTTCTAACCATCATTAATCACAATTTACTAATGTTTTAAAATCAATGGAACATAACAGACCTACATGTTTTTTTTCTGTTATCACTCCTGGGAAAAACACAGATGTTCCTACTTTGTTTCCAAAGTCAGCAAAGCCACATGTGGGCACAAAATTCCTTCCCAAAACTCAAATCAAACGCCTATAAATAATCTCTATCCATGCGTAATAATAATATTACAACAACACTGTGTTGTTAATGGTTTCTTTACATGATACCTCATAATGATCGATGTTATCTTGCTTGACATAGGCCTACATGTGGTCGAATCGAGTTCGATGTTTCTGGTATCCTTATTTATTACTCAGGTCTTACCGCCTGCATTTGACAGCTAGTCTTTCTGCTACGGGCGCTGCTAGTAGCCATAAATCGCATACCACTAGTGATGCGTGCTGCCAACTACCTCGGCCACGTCTTGCTGGTATTGTTATAACAGTGTAAGACAATGGGGCTGTCACAAAGCTCGTTTTTGCTGGACTCGGGGGCAAACAGCGGCTACCACGTCCATGGGGTAAGTTTGAAGGAGGTCAAGATAATGTCCGCACCCGGATCACGCGTAACGTCCTTTGGTAACGTGGATGTGCGTGTTTACAGCATAATAATTATGTTGTTGTAATACACCTGCGACGTCTTACTTGATATACCTACTGATATGTGGCCAAAAGCTCTAATAAGGGATTGTTGTAGAAAATAAATGTTGAATTATGTGAAACTCATGGTCTCTATTATAATCGGCATGTGATGAGGTGGCATTAAGGTACGTTCCCTGTTAGAGGCGCTTTACTGGGAATTATTATCATTTACTGTTGGTAAATAAAGTAATGTAATTTTAGCTGTTTGAATGAACACAATCTGAGCAGAGCAGAGCAGGATTCCAATTCGAGGATCCGGGTTTCTTGCATGCGTAATGACGAGTTGCGACACAGGGGGGCGACACTGTTCATTTTTCGTGTCCACCGTAATCCAATCAAACCTGTATGGTGGATCTTGTTTTTCCAGGTTCAACAGGATTCTCCTGCGCTGAAGGCGGGTCTGGAGCCTTTCTTTGACTTCATTCTCTCTATTGGCAACACCAGACTAGTGAGTGTGAGACTAGAATCAAGAGCTGTCTGTCAAACCTTTTATCATATATTATAACATCTGATATAAACCCAACATCTGATAAAAAGTTTTGAAATTAGTAAACAAAACTCTGGGAGCATCGTGTATGCTAATATAAAGTTCATAATTTATTTATTTATTTTTTATTTTTTTAGAATAAAGAAAGTGATTTACTGAAAGACCTACTAAAAGCCAATGTGGAGAAAGCTGTCAAACTTGAAGTGTACAACTCCAAAACCCAGAGGGTGAGAGAGCTGGAGGTGACGCCCAGTAACATGTGGGGAGGCCAGGGTCTGCTGGGCGCTAGTGTCCGCTTCTGCAGCTTCGAGGGGGCCAACGAGAACGTATGGCATGTCCTGGTAAGACTCACGATTACACACACCATAATGATGTATAATCAACTCACTAAAACAAATGATGCCATTACAAAGAGGTAGCTCTTTTGGCCATACTGACTACAGGTGGGCAGATTGTCAAAACACAAATAATACTGTGAGTGTTGTTTTGAAGCTACATAAATCTAAATTTCATTTTCAAAAAACTGCTGCAAATACAGTAAAGCCTATTAAATGTGAAAAATATGTTACAAACTATCAAATAATCATGGTATGAAGGGATATTTCTAGAAATTTGTGGATACATTTAAAAGTAATTTGATTCTGATCTAATATTCTTAAAGACATGTTTTTGCACATTTGTGTTGGACTGACATAACATTATGTGACTATTTTTATCTGGATATTTACCACCCACACCATGTTCTGGCCCATCAGTATGCATAAATTAAGTAATCTTGGGCAAAATGTTGTAACTTGTTAAAAACACATTAACCATACATTTGCAGGATGTAGAAGAAAATTCACCTGCTGCCTTGGCTGGCCTTATTGCCTTTGATGACTATATTGTGGGAGCTGACCAGGTGTTGCAGGAGGTAAGCTTCTGCAACTAAACTTGTTTATTAAAATGTGACAATTTAAGTAGAAGTTTGCATTAAGGATAGCAATTTCTCTTATAGTCTGAGGATTTCTACTCTTTAATTGAAGCCAATGAAGGAAAACCTCTAAAACTGCTTGTGTATAACATACAAACTGAGCAATGCAGAGAAGTGGTGGTGACTCCAAATGGTGCATGGGGAGGAGAGGGAAGGTAAGGATTTTATTTAATTACAATATTCATTCTACCATCGTATTTATATTTATCTTATCACATTGTGCTTTTATTTAGCTTAGGTTGTGGCATTGGCTACGGCTATTTGCACCGGATCCCAACTCACCCAATTCAACCAAAGTCAGAAGATGAACACATAATGCAGAAGAATGTCACAGAGGATGTAGAGCCTGTTTCTCACAACCAATCAGAGGTACCTACAGTAAGAAATATCTGATCTTTTAATGTAAAAATATCTGCCGATTTGATGGATAAGAAAAATACATATCTGTGTTGCAGGTGCCTTCTAATATCAGCGAAATCGACCTGAGTCAGATTAAAGAAGCTGTGCAAGACCTCAATCTACCTCTTACAATGGATCAAAACACAACTTCTGGTAAGACACGTATTGTGGCTATTACTTAAAAAAGACTGAATAGAAAACATGGATGGCCCTATTTTGTTTTTGCTCAGCTGGCATACCAATATGAGAAAGAGATGCTGCAAGTAACAAGTTTTGCAGTGATGTTACAAAAGAATAGCAAACTTTTCAAATGTTTTGTCAATAATAGACACGACCAACCTGCCTGAAGTGACAACCCCAGATGTATCAGAGATGGCATCCACCGGTCACATGGGGAACAGCTCAATGTTTGCAAATTATGGAGATGCAGATTCCTGTGATCAGTTAAGCCTTGGTAAGAGCAAATACAGTATATGATCAACTGCCAACATGTTAGTGAATGCCTTCGCTCATAATAGCTGCAATAAGCACTACCTACCTACCTATAAAACCAACAATATATTTATATTTTTGAAATTACTGTTTAAGATAACTGGGTTTTGTGGCACGGTGAGTTGTTAGTTATGACCTTCACGCATTTTTAAATTCTATTTTTAATCTTACTAATTGCACTAAATCTGTAATCTGTAATATGAACATGGGCTACTTCTTTCTTAGCTCCCTTCAGTTGTCCAAAAACATAAATTTAAGTTGTTGAATCCAAGTATTACATGTATTGACCCCTATTAGAATAAGCCTATAATTTATTTAGGAGGTAGAGGAAGTGTCTGGGGTGAGGGAAGGCTGGAAGTCATTGCTTAGACTGTTCCCCCCATGACCCTAGATTAGTGGGAGAAAATGGATTGATGGATTTTAACTCTTTCTCTTGCTTATATCATAGAAAACTTCTCATCTGATCCAAGACCTTCATCTCCAGAGAAGGACGAGCAGCCAGACCTCCAGGGAACAGAGGAACCCTTAAATGTGGGTGACAGCATTGCACCGAGCACAGAAGGTCCGGATGAGCTGGGTATACCCACTCCCACTAAAGAGGCACTGTGTCTCCCTGAGGTGCAATCTGAGCCATCCACGCCAGATCAAACTGAACAAGACTTGAACACTGTAGATTCAGACAATTAACAAAACTACTATAAATAATATAGCACACTAAATAAGCTTTTAATTGGTATCTTTTTCTTTTACACGTTTTTATTATATGCAAGTGTCACTGCTTCATGCTAGGACCTCTATAAAGCCATTATGTCAAGGGATGTTACGTATCATGCAAGATTAATGTCGTTTTAAAATGTTCTTACCTGTGATTTTAGTTTGAATCTAAGTTTGCACTAAAAAGCCTAAAATATATGCTGCTAGCTTGAGGCTCATGAAGAATGTCGAGAAGGTTAAAACACTGACGTATTTTTAAAAGTTATGTTCATATTTGTATTATGATGCAAAATTTATGGCAGGAGGGATTTATTGTTTAAAAATACGGTGCACCATGTTAAAAGCGTAATGGTTGAAAGTTCATGTTAATAATTTAAGTTTGTTTGTTTGTTGATTTGTAATGCTGATTTTCATTTATTTGTTTTAAAGTTGTTTAGTCAAACTAAATAATACTTCTCAGGATAGTAGAATAAATAATTTGCTTTCTCTTCCTCAAATCTGCGTTTCTTGAGTGGCAGATCATATCATAGTTAGGCTCTAGATGACGTTTGACAGTGCATTCTCCTATTTAGACAGCAGATGGCAGCAAATCCCTCAACAAAACAACAAACAAGACTCCCCAAGGCACTCATTCCCAAATGTGTTCAAAATTAGCTCATTACATCATTCTTATTAATGAAACAACAAACCGCAGTATTTACACTTTTGTCTCACTTCAGACATTATAACATGTCTGAAGTGTTAAATTTTCACTTACATTGTTGCTAAAGTCGTCAATAATTATGACTTTTAATAAATATTCATCAAAACCACAATCATCACAAGTAAATGCTAAATTTCATAATGAAATTGTATATGACAAATAGTTATCCTAGTTTTGAGTAGGCCATGTAGCACACCATCAATAGGCCTATCAAGAAGTCTATATGGAATGAAGCGGAAAGTGACGTCAGAATATTTGAAACTGTCTCTCTCCTAAATCTGAAAAAAGAGCCAAAAATGTAGAGAAACCCCAGCCAGCAGAGGGGAATATGCCTCAATTATTTAGCAAGGCACTCCTCCTCAGAGTCAGCAGTAGCCGAGGGGGGATGGGCACCGGGGAAAGGCGGCAGAGTCTGAGCTGAGGCGGGGTAGGAAACGTGAGAGGCGGAGGGGCTTGACTTGATCCAGCCGAGAGTGAGTGGTGCTCTACGGAGCTTTGTGTTGACACACCTGACTGATGAGGATCCTGCGAGGATGAAGATTTAGAAGTCTCTGTGCGCTCTGCGTTAATATAAGACTCTGCGCGTTAGACTGAAGTGTTTGTCTAGTAGGCTATATCTTGTTATGGGGAATTAGCATTTATCACACGGGTAAATCTGATTTTGAGATCAGTTTTAGAGTGAGACAGCGGTGGCGTGCACTGGTGGCATAGGCGGTGTCTGCCAGAAGCTGCAGGATCCAATCCAAAAGTGCAAAAGGCACACCTCGGGCACATGATTTTTTCGTGTTTTCCGGACACAGTTTGAAAGGAGTGTGACGCAGCTGAACCCACTTGTCAACTCAGCTTTAGCTCAAGTCTCCAGAGAGTGAGAAAGAGAGGGAGATTAAGGGAGAGTGAAAATAAGTAAGCGAGAAGAAGAGAGCGGGAGAGAGAGACAGACAGAAGGAGGCTCGTCTCTGAGTTAGAGAGTTATAGAGAGAGGGAGAGAAAAAGGGGAAAAAAAGAGAAGGAGGCTCGTCTCTGATGGAGGCCAGGCAGGCACCAAAGCAGCGTGCGCGGGAGAGACACACAGAGAGAGGCGGAGAGGAGGGAATTATCATAATGATTAAAAAGGTGTGTTTGTTTTATCAGCAACAATTCCACACAATTAAAAGAAAGATGCGATAATAACATAATTAAGATGGACATATAATCGTGCACAGTCTATTGAATTACTAATATCTTAGAATTAGGGTTCATTAGGCCTATAAAATGTAGCTCTCTTAACTAAATTGGCTATGTACAGGATTGGCCTAATGTGTGGGCCTATCTCTTAAGTTGTATGTGGCCAAAATGAAGAAATAAGCAAACTTTGTAACTGTTTTGAGACTCACACTGCCTAGCATTCACTGCATAGGACTATAGCATTCAATAAGTCTAGTGTATGAGATTGATTAGTAGTAGGCCTATACATAAAAATACATTACATTTAGTATACATGTACAAGAGATATTTCCTTGTGTGGGCTGAACTCAAAACACTGAGCACTGCTAATATGGTGAGCAGGAAAAATCAGCAGGTGCCACTGGACGCCCCACTGTCACTGATCAAACCCTCCAGAAAACACTGCTCAAGAAGCTTCCACTCAGCAGCCTCTGTAATATGTGGCAACAAAGAGCCATTTCGTGTAGAGAGACTGAGTCATCCAAGTTTGTTTGTTTCATCTTAAACACTTTAGCTGAGTCTTGTTTCACTTTGGTCCATTTTTTTTCAGAGGTTACCACTGCAGGCAAGTCACCGCTGAAACCAGTCAGTGTTTTACCTAAGGGCACAACAACATGAAAAGTCTGATCATCACAGACATTGACAAATTTCCTGCTAAACTATTTCCAAGAAGAAAAGGTGAAACAACATTTAATTGTAACCAAATTAGTATTTTAGAGCATGTTGTGAAATAATGGCCACTTTTTGTGCATGATCCCCAAACAAGCTTTTAGCATGTTAATCCACCCACTTTGCATTCATTTGCCAGCACTAATCCCATACGCATTAACAGACTTCTATTTCCTCTTGTGTTTTTGTCACCCTCCCACCCCAATCACAGATCTCTTGGTGTGATGCGTCCTATATTAGGAAGTGCGATGGCTCGGAGCTGTGTTTGCCTGCCGGGCGTCAAGCCGCTTTCTCCGCGGTGATCCCAACGCAAGCAGAGAATAATCTGGGTAAGTGCCCGTGTGCTGGACCAAAGATGTACACAGCATAATTACATTCATAACAGCAGCACCGCAAGGGGCCTAAACTCATTACGAAGTTGTTTTCGACCCATGTGGTGGTCTCCTGCTGTTATATTGTTTGAGATGGAGGGATATCACTTTTAATCAATTTGTTAGAATGTAGCTCAAAGCACATGAGCACAACCTCCAAAGTAAAACATGACTTTGACAACAAGCACAAAAGTGAAAAATATTTATTATAGTCAATATTTGAACTGTAGTTTGAGTTTGTAATAGGGCTAGTTAAATCATTGTTGTATGAATTAATAGGCTAGAAAGTAAGAGTAAAATAATTAGGAGCAGAAGTAGTTATTAATAAAAGTTGAGTATAGTATCAAGAGTATTAGCTCTAGTGTAGATATAGCAGCAATAATGTTAACTTTACTGTCAGTTAGTGCTGTCAAGATACTAAAATTTCAGATTCGTTTCGATACTAAGACTCCATACTCAATACCAATTCTGATACCACAATGATAAAATGCACTCTTTATTTACTTTCTCATTTTACAATGTGGATTGATATTTGTGTAATCTGTTGTCCAGGTAGGTTCCATATTGGTTCATGGGTCTTGCACTTGTTCTGATACAACTCACCATCATTCTAAATCTATTCAGGAAAAGTTCATTTCTGCCCTTCTGAATGTGACATTTTAGTACCAATACTTAGTTTCAATACTAGTTTTGGTATGAATTAATATCTGATTTTCGATACTATTGACAACCCTACTATCAATATGGGTGTACTTTTTATTATACATTTATTTTGTGGTTTGAGGCAAATAAATGGTTTGGATGAAGTCTGCTTTGATTAAATAACTAGATTAGGTAATTTTTAGATCTCTATCTTTCCTTATAATTACAAGTCAGTGTTGATTAAACGGTATAATTATAATATATAAAAACATAATTTTTCTCTTTTAATTAAATGCTAAAAGTAGAATTTCAATTTGCCTGTGCTGCAAATTCCACTTTGCTCCTTTCAGTTACCGCTAATGTGAAGTATGTAGTCACAATTACTAATCTAATTCTTGTGGAAAGCTTGGTGGTGCTCCTAGCTGCCCCTTCTCCTCTGCTCCATTTGTACTCATTTCCGCGTGACAAAAGAGGACAGAGACAGAGAGGATGGGACACAGCAGCCAATCAGGAGGTGAGCTGAGGGCGTCCTGCTTTATTTCCTGTAGCACTAATTGTCATTGGTCCAGGCAGAGGAGCTGGCCGCACTGATCGCTGTCAGAATGGCCCCACTACGTCAAGTCTACCATCTGCTCCTGAGACTCCCACACATGCACCAGAATAGGAACCAAAATGAATCCAAGCCTCATTAGATTTGTGTTTGTAGGTTAGCTTCTCATAATCTATATTACATTTATTCCCAAGGAAAGTAATTAATGCAGTGGAGAGACTTATTTGTAAACAGATTCTTAATTATGATCAGGCTGTCTCCATTAATCTATTTAGTGGTCTGTCTTTGTCCCTTTTTACCTGTGCTAAGGAGCATATGAAAGGAAGTTATCTAATAATTAGGTTGCTTTGCTAGTTCTTTGATTACTTTGTCCAAAAATGGGATCAAAGGATCAATTAGGTATGGGAACAAATGTTTTCGCACAACAAGGACCCTATACATTATGATTTAGAAATGTATTAACACAATATTGGCATCTTGTATTTGCAAATGCATAAGATATAACAAAGTCAGAACAATAATAATCACTTCACTTTGATTGGTTAAATCCACGTGTCACTCACTCAGAGCGTGATGGAAGTTGGCCAACAAGAGCAGTGGGTGGGGATAGGTGTCTGTGTTTGAGCATAGTTGTATTGTTGTATTAAACAGAGAGGAACTGAGTCACCACATGACAGTATAAACAAATCTGTCCTCTACATGTGGGACCCATCTTCAGATTTTGAGCTTGTATTTTATCAGTGCTCCCTGAGCTGGTGGATTTTGGTTTTAGTAAATGTTTTTTGGGGGAAAGTGATGCCCTTATGAAACCCACCCAGACACGAGAAGATGGATGCAAACTCCACTCCACACACTTTTTGTGAGGCGAGTGCCATAGCCAAGATTTATATGTGTGACTTCGAGGAAACCCTTTTGGTTGGATGAAAGCATCCCTCACAGAAATGTTTTTGGCATTTTCTGTAAATGTGAGTGGATGTGAGAAGCACAGTCAGCAGAGTCCCTGCTGTTCTCCTCAGTATGTGACATATTTGCAGTGACATCTCCAGTACCACGAAGCCCTGGTTCTGAGCCTATGGGGCTCTGTCTCCTGCAGTTTACTTCATGTACCACTTACCCATGGTCCACAGGGTATGTACACAGTGCTTTGGTCCTCCCACTCAGTCAACTTTAATAAACACGCACATCACTGCATTACACATCATTACAGTGGCCACGAAGGAGGGCACATTTCTAGGATTGGGCGATAAAATGGAATATGCCTAAGCTTTTGAGAGTCCTCTGCTGGATAAGTTACATCTTGCAGCATTATATGTGAAATATTATGTTTTCATGTCATTTATATAGGATGATTTTTGAAACCACTTACATATTTTGAGGGCAATCTTGCTCTAATTTGTATATTATGTAGTTTAATCTGGATGCCCTTTCTGATACAACCAAATGTTTTTCAATGCTTAGAACTTTCACAGAGACATTGAATTAGACTGTATAGCCTCCTAGGCATCCGCATACAGTCTATAAATCCCTATTTAGACAGATTTTTTTATGGCAGAAACTATAGCAAGAATAACCCTTTTTGTTCTGTGCCTGGGAAAAAAATGCTAGAAAATGAGTGAATCGATAAAACTATGAGTCACTTGATTTATGGCACACTTCCACAAACAGCCTGGCCACTTATTTCCAATTGTGGCCCCTTCAATCAGCCCGAATGGTGCTCCATATGGCCGTGACAGTGTGCGTGTCACTCTGCTCATGTCTTAGTCTGGGAAGAGCTGAACTAGCTTGCAGCCACAGAGGTGCACTAGGTGCCAAAGATGAACCGTCAGCAATTCCTCTGTTTTTATATTTTTGAAACATGGAGGCGGCATTTCACGGCGCAGGGGAGAAGGATTAGACTCGGTGGTGGCTCAGGCGTGTAATAAATGTAGATGCAGCAGCAACTATCAGAGGTGTGCAGATGGATGAGGAGGAGAGGAGAGAGAGTGAACTCCAGTTGGGGTTGGGTGTTTTGAGTGTGATGTAAATTATAATACCTTAGTGTTTTTATATATATATTAGGTGTGGAGAAGTATAATTAAACTGTGTGATTAATTTGTGTCTTGGGGTCTTTAAAAGTGTTTCCAAATCAGGTTTTCAGCAGAACTGGACTAAGGGAGTGTGACGTCACCCATAGTGTTTAGCTCCAGTCAAATGAAGTTCACGATGCAGTTATTTTTTAGAGCCAAGTCCATATTAGGAATAGGAATTTATTTACGGACAAAACAACTAAATAAAAACACCAGGATTATGTAAAATGAGTTAATGTGAACATTTTAAGACCAAATTGACAAAGCTCACAGCACAGCAGCAGTTACAGAAAGAGGGGTGACAATTTTCCAACGTAAAGTCAAATGGAAATGGAATCTGAAGTGCCCCCATGAACGCGACTAGGGAGTTACCCAGGTATGTTTTTCAAATGTAAAGAATTAATGAGTATTTAAATAGTATTTGAGTATACAAGTTTCTCTATAATGCTTTTAAGATATGCTTTGGCTGGAATGCTCCACAGTATGGAATTAACACTATCTGTCTACATGGATACACGCGAGGGACTCTTCCAGACCAAATCAGTAAGAGGTGAGACAACCCTACTCATAGTGAATGCATCTTTTTCAAGGTATTTTTACCAGCACTAAAACACTTTGAATTTAGATTTTAAAAAATTTCTTTGGAGGATAAGCCCCTTGAGATGTCTCGCCATCTCTTTTTCGAGGGGATCCTCATAAATATAACAACAAAAGACAGATACAGTAGTGCAGACAGTAGGATGCATAAATTCAAATAAGTATCAAAACAACAAAATCAGCACACGCACACACACACGCGCACACTCACTCACACACTCACACACACACACTCACTCACACACTCACACACACTCACACACTCACACACTCACACTCACATACACTCACTCACAATTGACTGTTTGACACATAATAAAACTAATTTGAGAAAAAAACACAAAAGCTAAAACAGAGTTCAAAGACAATCACAAAATACAACAAGATGAACAACAAAATTCAACAAAATGATCAAAAACAATTATGTGGGTTCTGTAAATATTGAACCAGAGCATTTTTAAATGAAGGGACAGAAGTTAATGTGCGAATCAAAGAGGGAAGATTGTTCCAGTCAGAAGGAGCTTTATATTTAAGTGAGTGCTTTCCTACTTTTACTTAAATAAATGCAAGCAAGATATATTTAATGCCATACTGTGAAACATTCCAATCAAACTAATAGCAGTCACCATGGAAATTAGCAGGTGACGGTCCCCCATCAGAAATGTTAGAGTGCACCTGAACAAGAAAATGTAATAACATTGTCAGTGTACTAAACAGATGGTTTATTTGCCAGGGGCTCTTGGAGTAGAATGGGGTTTGTGGTGGTCAGTTCTTATTGCCCAGAATACAGAATATATACAGTATCCCCAATCCCCCCTCAGCATCATGCATTAATAATGTAGTTTGACTTGCTTCTGCTGTTGCTGCTGCTGGTTAAATAAAACAGATTTGAGCCTCACAGCCTGTAAACATTACTCTTTGTTTGGATCTTTAGCCCCCAGTTCTAACTCTGTGAAATCATGTTCCCATCGCCGCAGAGGAGAGTCTAATGAATACAGAGTACTGCAAACCTTTGAACACCAAATGAAATAGGCCAGTTCAGGTGGTGCAGAACATAACTGTCTGTGTACTAAAGTAAAAATAAGCCTGTTATCAGTCTGGGC